CTTTTGTTGTTCAGGATGTTGTTTTGATGGATACTTTGAGCTTTTCTTGCCAGCTATCTGCTCAATCTTCTGTAGTTGACTGCTTTCACTCATTTCCTCTTTATTTCTTGAGGTGATCTCATAGGCTCTGCATATTTCTACAGCTTTCTTTAAGTCTAAACTAGTCTCTCGTAATAACAGTTCTTGTTGCTTACCGGTTACAGTGAAGACTATCTTGTCTCGTATCATTCTTTATTTTTCCTTGAAATTGCATGAATCAGCGTAAGAGTACAACTTTGTTAGGAATGTGTCAAAAGGTTCTTGGAAGGGTACTTGCCAAAAGCGAAAGGATTGCAGAACTTCATTTTGTCGTGGATTACAATATTCCTCTAGTTTTTCGAGCACTTTAACAGGATCATTTTTGTAATTTTCTCCTTCAAATTCAAAATGATCATAAACCTCAAGGACTTCCGGGCCTGCACAATGTAATATAATAGCCGTTTGTCGCTGCTTCGGCTTGTTATTATTCCCACTAGCTTCCATATAAACTTGTAACTGACGTTTCCATTTCTTAGAGCTATCTGCCAGATTACGGTCTGTCAGATCGAGCGATGAAGGTAGATGAAATTGTGCCATTTCCATTTAAATAAATATAGATACTCACAAAATACTAAGGATCTTTAAGAATATATCGCTGCCACCATGTTAAAAGGACTACAAGTCTGTATTAAGCTGAATTAAGTTCTAGTTTAATACTAAAAGGCGGCCTTCACGCCATGCTTTTTAAGAACAACAACTTACGCATGCGCGCCTGCTAGGACTCCCGACTGCGGGCTCAAAACCAAATATCAACACGTAGGAACCGGGGTGGGGGGAAATTGCATTAAAAGTGCCTTTTTTGTGATGAAGAGTGCCCTTTTTTGTGATGAAAAGTGCCTTTTTGGTACAAGCTAATGTCGCTGTAAATACTAAATTAACATCAAAGATGCCCTTTTTGTTTGGAAATTTCCGCCCCCCCCCCGCCAACATTTCTGGGAAAATTTTTTGGTACCCCTTTCAATACCGGTGCCCCCCAATCTTTTGATGCTTCCTAGGCCCCTGGGCTTGAAGATATGACTTTTATTTCTCGTGTTAAAAACAATATTTTACTCACTCTCTGCACTCGTTCGTAATTCGTTCGTAAAATATTGTTTTCACCACTCGAAGAAAATTTCTTAATACACGACATTTCTTTCTTGTCTTTACTCTTTCAACATACTTATGTTGATAATAAACACTCACGAACGATATGTGTTAAAAGGCCTTAAAACATTCTATTTAAAATTATTTCGTATAAAAACCTCGTCAGTTGTTCGCCATCTTTAAAATATAACATGTACTTGGTGTAATACTTATTAAATAGTCTACCGCTGCAGTACTTGGTGTATATATCACTCATTGTCCTTTCTATCAAAATTCGTCTCAGTCCTCCACTACAGCTCTGGGAAACTGGAAGAAGTTCCATTCCTCTCTTGTATTCATTAATTTAGCTTCCGGCACTTTACTTATTCTTACGCTTTCCGCTATCTGCCTTGCCATAGCGTCATTATTATACATTCCTGTTACGTTCATTTTAAACTCCTGTATCTCGTTGTCATGTTTCTCTTCACTTTCACTTCTTCTATATACACCAAGTACTGCAGCGGTAGATTAATTTAATAAGTATTACACCAAGTACATGTTATATTTTAAAGATGGCGAACAACAGACGAGGTTTTTATACGAAATATATTTTGTGAGCCATTTTTTAGTAAATATTTTTAATTTTAAATAGAATGTTTTCACATATCTCGTTCGTGAGTGTTTATTATCAACATAAGTACGTTGAAAAAGTAAAGACAAGAAAGAAATGTTGTTTATTAAGAATTCTGGCTTCGATAAATGAACTTTCAAGACACCATTCGAAGATAAAATTCATATCTAATTCGTGCCGCCGTGTAATATCCTCTATTTATTATATGGCTTTTCAAAATTCTCTATTCTGATTGGTTGACAAGCTGTCCGTAAAAACCCATATCCGGACCGTGGTCCATATTTTGCGTGTCTGGACCGATGTCCCGGATGTCGTTTATCTGGCGGGAAATTTTTGCTTTGCAAACAGAAAAATTTTTTGCTTTTTAAATTTCCAATTGTGCTTTACGTACAGATCAAAATTTCAAACAACCAAATTGTTTTTTATGCCTACCGTTTATTGTTACCCAGTGAAACTGACGATATAATACTGCCGATTTAATTCGCGCGAACCGCATATGCTCACAGACTCAGTTCAGCCATATAATAAACCGATTATTGACCTCGCTTGTTCGGTCTGTACTGTGAAATATCAGACCTCTGTTTTTTGCATGGACCTCGCTCCTTCGTCCTTCGGTCTATACTAAAAAACCTCGGTCTGATATTTCACAGTACAGACCTCACGCTCGATCAATAATCCGTTAATATAACTCAGGATTATGCATTTAATGTGTAATTCCTGCACTACGAATATCAAAATGGCAATTAGGATTTTTATAAAGACCATGTCCTGAGGATGCAAAAAACAGTCACCAGGTGAACTTTCACAGTTAGCCTATATGGCACTACATTCACTGTAAGAGAACATATTTTCCAGAACAATCCAAGGCAAGTTGCTGTTATTATTTGCTGAATACCTACCACCGCGTAATTTAGATTTACGGCCTGTTTGTACGGAAGTCGGGCTGGCCCGCTAAGTAAGACGTCTCGTTGTGTAGAACTTTATTTTTATAGCAAAAATTATTGTGCGTTTAAATGGACAAGCGAGATGGCCCGGTTGGCGATGTCTCACTTGAAAGAGGTGAGATCTCGCATACCGGGATGGAAATTTCTGCATATAAACACTCACAAGCGGGCTAGGCCGGTTCCAGGAATGAAAATTCAAAGATATCGCCGCAAGCTATTTATAACAACTGTCAAAACAATAAAATTGTTAACACAAGAGAAATTCAACCCGCCTATCAGGCTGTCTCACTAAGCGGGCCAGCCCGACTTCCATATAAAAACAAAGGTTCCAACCGACTAATTTATCGAAGCATCAGAAGTTTCATTGGTAGCACGGGTGTCATTTTTGGTAATCGAACATGGCAAGAAATGTTCATGAAAAATACAGCTGAATTCGTCAGTAAAACTTCGCTCTGCTTGTCTATAAATATTGTGATTACTGATTCGGTTCATTGTGTCAACAAAATAACTGGGATTTGTATATTTGTATGTCCACCTAGTATACTATAGCCAAATAACTGGGATTTGTGTATTTATTTGTCATGCTTTGAAACTCATATTTTTCAACACAACTCTGCAAATTCAAATGCTTAACAATATTTACTTTTTCAACAACAACAATGAATTAAATCTGCTGTGAACTCTAACTGACAAAAAAGGTAGCAAATTGAAATGTCGGATTGCCAATCGATAAAACACCGCAAGATAAGTACCTTTGATAAGTGTAATAAAAATAACACAACACCACTGATTACATATACCTTACAATAAACCGCAGGAAAAAAAACCCCAAACAGCAGCTAAAATCTCCTTCTGTCTTCGCAAAATATGGAAAGCACATGGAAACACAAAGACGCCGCACGAAACCGGAAACCGAGGTAAATGCCATGAACACGAAAGCGAGGCAAATGTTACATCCAAAAATCTCAAAAGGACACAGCATCCAGCCGTGACGTTACGATTAGAAAGCGTTCTCCTTTGTCGGACGCAACTTCGTCGAACGCAAAAATCCATACAATTTGCTTGCGGTTTACGACTTATATAAATAGTCTCTTTGCTCACATAGATGAATTGCGAATATTTATTAGCAATGCAAAAATTGACATACTATGTGTAAATGAAACCAAACTCGACCCTTCAATCAATGATCGTGAGGTATATTTAGCTTGCTATGAAATTGTTAGAAGGGACCGAAATGTAAATGGACGCAATGGTAGGGGTGTGTGCATTTATATTAGGTCTAACATAAACTACCAAGTTAGAGATGATTTGCAATCTGCAACTCTCGAAAATTTGGTAGTGGAGATAAAACAACCGCGATCTAAATCTGTTTTAGTGAGTACTTGGTATAGACCCCCTGACTCACCAATGAGTCAATTTATTGAATTTGAAAAAATGATTGGGTCATTTGATGCCGAAAACCTGGAGTATTTTCTTTTGGGTGATCTAAATGTTGACCTTATTTCAACAACTGCATCACCAATAAAAAATAAATTAAAAGAGATATTAGATATTTACGGTATTAAACAATTGATTAATGAACCAACCAGAATTACGTCATCATCTAGAACCCTGTCAAGAAGCGATCATTCATTGATTTATGCAATTCGTAAGGCTCACTATGTACAAGGGGTACAAAAAACGGTACATATTAGGTCAATGAAGCAATTTAATAGAGAACACTATTTACGAGATCTTGAACAAAAAAATTGGCACAATGTTTATTGTTCTGCGCACCCTAATGTGATGTGGAAAATTTGAAAAGAAAACTTAATGAGCGCAATTGACAAACATGCACCATTGAGATCCAGGCGGGTTAAAAATCGGAAGTCCCCCTGGATAACAAAAGAATTAAGACAAAAGATACGACATCGTGATAGTTTAAAAAAGAAAGCGAATTTATCTAATGATTCTCAAATTTGGCAGCAATACAAACAGACTCGAAACCGAATAAACAATGAAATTAAGGAATTTATACGAAATTATTTTACAAATAATCTTGATTTTCATAAAGGTGACATGAAAAAACCATGGAAATTAATTAACGAATTAAGTTCCAAAAATATTGGCAAAACAAATAGAGTGTCAGAATTAAATTTTAATAATCAAGAAATAACGGCACCTATGGATATTGCTGAAGCTTTTAATGACTATTTTTCGAGTGTTGGTGACAACCTAGCTGCTGCATCTATACGAACCCCTGACCATAATCCGAGCTTTTATCTTAAAGCAACGGATAAGACATTTTCATTGCAATCTCCTACCTTTGAAACTGTTTATAAATTCTTAAGTGAAATTGATGAGAAAAAAGCTGTTGGGTTTGATAATATACCCAACAAAATATTGAAAATGACTGCACCTTCGCTGACGGGAATATTTTCCGCATCAATACGTACAAGAATATTCCCAAACGAATGGAAGGCAAGCAGGGTGACACCAATATTCAAAAGTGGTCCTAAGAGTAACCCAAGCAATTAGATAGATAGTTTATTTGAACTTTCATGGCAGCATACACTGAATTGCAGAAGTTTTACATTATGATTAGATAGATCAACCGGACTGACGTGAAGCAGACCGAGGTAGACTTTGAGCTTACAAATGGCGCTTGAGCAGCCGCTACTAGTCCATACCTCATTAATGATCTGCCTCCAGACCTTATGTGCCTAACCCACCCTGTCAACTTTCCCTGTGGGAGGAAACATGGAGTACCCGGAGAAAACCCACGACTTTCGGCAGAGCGTTGACTTACTCTTTTTACATTAGGACTGGGTTCGAGTCACAATGAGAAGTCCTCATTGAGATTCGAACCTGTGACCTTAGAAGTGAAAGGCAAGTGCCCTAACCACTTCGCCACCGAAGCC